AAATATTTATTATGGACAATGCAAGGAAATAATATTGTTGAGTACCTCTATCATACTCGGTACATACCACAATAGCAATGCAATCCAGGATGTTAGGTTAAATTTACTGAGACATTTGAGAAGAAGCAGCTCAGAAGAAAATTGTTGCCTATTTAATTGCTTTTTGATAGCATGGTCAATATCAATGAAAGAGATATTTTTTATTTGTGTATCATTTTCCTTTGTGCAAGCAGAAGGAACTGGAAGGTAGTACTTCTAATATGAATGAAGCATATTACCATTGGAATACAAAACCAGTGAGACAATCAATAACAGGATGATAAAATTTTCTAAATGAATTCAACCTAGAACCAAACATATGACTTAATATTAGAATGAAAAATATAGATGCCTCTTAGTCTCTTGATTTTAAGTGGCAAGCCAGCAATACAAAAACTTAGAATCCCGGGATTCTAAGTTTAATATCAGTGCTGACTCCTAATTTTAGCTTATTTTAGTTTATAAAGACCAAGATGATAAATGGTGATATCTAAAAGATAAAAACAGCAAAACCAATAGAAGCCTATCTATTCAAAAAAAAAAGCAAAAGATTAATGTCACTTCAACATAATAAAACTAAGGTTGTGTCAAACTTAACAGGGTCAGGTGACCTCCTTGATAACATTCTAGCTAATCATTCTGTGTAATCACTTCCTTTTATTTCTCATCTGCTCCCTTCTAACATGCCTTGTTGTATAGGGTTCCATAATTTTCCAGATGGTCAAACAAGTATATAATGAAAAAGGAAATGGAAGTTATTCTAAATGACCCAAAGAGAAATTAGGCACAGGTGGCTCATGCCTGTAATATTAGCTTCCCAGTAGGCTGAGATTTGAAGACCTTGGTTCAAAGCCAGATCAGAGAACTTTTATCTCAACTAACTAGCAAAATGCTGGAACTGAATGTTGTAGAACATCAGCCTGGGGCTGAGAAAATCTTGAGTTCAAGCCCCTGAAACAGCACATACACATACAAAAACACCCAAAGATAATTATCTAGAGATAAAATGAATCTGATATGAAAAGTGTACTGAATGAAAATATCAGCAAAAAAACCCCAGAAGAATTAAGATACTTAATTCTCAATTGAAATCTTAAGACACAGAAATAAAATCTATTAAAAAAATCAAACAAAAATAAGACAGAAATGGAAAAATTGAGTGAGCTATAAAAGTATCAAATAGTCAACATAAATAAAACTGTTCAAAGAGAGAGACAGAAAAAATATGGGATAGAATTGATGCGCTATCAAATTTGAAAAAGACTATAAACCCATGTATTCCACAAATCTCAATCAGAAGAAAATATTAAAATGAATTTATTTATTGTCTATTTTATTTTTATTTTTGCCAGTCATGGGGCCTGAACTCTGGGCCCGGACACTGTCTCTCAGCTCTTCGGCTCAAGGATAGAGCTCTACCACTTCAGCCTCAGTGCCACTTCCGGCTTTTTCGGCTTATGTAGTGATGAGGAATCGAACTCAGGGCCTCATGCATGCAAAGCAAGCACTACCACTGAGCCACCTTCCCAGCCCCTCATTGTCTCTATTTTTATGTATTCAGTTTCACTGGTTTATATACATTCTTATTTACCAGTTTCCTTCTTTTCTGAGACATTCTATCATTTAATATAAGAAGGAGATACCATAACATAGGGACATGGATCATGTGGTAGAGTATCTTCCAGTCAAGTTCAAAAGAAAAAAAAACTAAAATGGAATTTGGAGCTTCTATTTATGTCACTTTGCAGGAAGGAAGATAGGAAGTCTTCATTGTTTGGGGCAGGTTTTCCCATGTTCCCAACAGCAATCCTTGTGCCCACATCTGCATAGTATATTTATTATAATTAAAGGACTGAATGAAGAGAAGATTCCTCCAACTCTCATCTCCCTGAAATGAAGTATTATTTCCTATTTCTATTGAAATCATTCTTTGTATTTTATTATTGTAATTTACTAAGTCTGTACAAGTCAGCCTTACTTGATCCACAAAGGCTCAAATGCAAAAAAAGAAAATGTTTCTATTAGACTTTTGGAGTTCTCCATGGAGTAATAAAGATTTTTTTCCATGGTGTTCAAGGTGGAATAGAAGGATGATTTTTTTGTTCATCCATGTGGGTTTCTTGATATAGAGTCTAACTATGTATCTGGATTCCCAGATGATGGGATTAGACGTTTTTTTTTATCAAGTGCTCTGCTTTTTCCTCCTATCCTCCAACCCATAGTTCTGGAGATTGCATCTAGAGTCTCATATACTAGACAAGTGCTCTACCATTGACCTATTTCTCAAGAACAAAACAAAAACCCTACAGCAACTATGATATATTTTAAGTAGAATCTTGTCAAATAGCCCCAGTGAGGGACTATGCTAGGCTTACAAAGTCTTCTTCGTGAAGCTCTGACTTGCAGGAGAGGCACTCTGTTTAAACTGGCACCAGTGCCTCTTACCAATTAGATTTCAGGCTCTTATTTCTCAAATGCCTACATTTTGCATAGTTAATAGCCTCATTCATCTAATAACATTGGCATTCTCAAAACTCTCAATCACATACCCTATTTTCAATAGGAAAGCTTCACTTTAAAAATACAATCTAGTTCTGTACCTCTGCTTTCAATGTAAGGAAACAATTTAATACTTTATGCAGAATTAATACTTTGATGCAGAATTACCTTCCTCTTAATTTACATATTTAATTTTACATATTAAATTATGTATATTGTATACGATAAGTGAATATATATTAATCACAAGTACTATATACATAGATCATATATAGTACAAAATAACTTCCATAGGTATTTTGGCATTAAAACTATACATTAAACATTACTGAAGTCCCACAAATCTATTATATATATATTCCTATAATAAACACAAAAGCTTATAAGGATACTTTAATGAACAAACAATATTACATTATTACCTGGGCCAACATTATACCTTTACAATACAAGTAAATTAGTCTACAATGGAACCAAGCCCTTCTTTCTTTTACCAATGTTACTCCATATTCCAAACTTAAACAACATATACTCATCCAGTGACTACCTTATTTCAAATTGCGATTTTTTTCATCCCAAGTTTTCAATATCCACAGTTTTGTACAGTCTTAACTATGACAGTCTCAATCAAACTCTCATCTTACTTCTGTATCATAAGCATCCATTCTCTTCCCCTGCACTTCTGTTGTAAGGCTACGTATGGAGGAACATTTTTAGAATGCAGTTCTGGGGGGTCTATGGATATAAGTCAGTGGTACAATGCTTGCCTCGTTAGTATGTGCAAGAACCTGAGCTCAGTCCCCAATCAGCAGCTACTTGAATGCTGTCACTCCTACACTTGAAAATATTTGACAGCTTGCCATCACCAATACTGTTTCTGGGGACTTGTTTAATTGTAAAAAGGCATTCAGAGTAACTAAAATCAAGTTTTAAAGACATTTAATCATCAGAATGAAACTATATTGAAAATTTTTATTCTCTCTACCACTCAAATATTCTGGACTTGAAACTGCTTTACCTACTAAACAGACCAGATTGGTATCAAAATAACAAAAACAGTATTAACTCTGATAAAGCCAATGGTAATTAGGCCACAAGGTGCCACATGATATGATGTATGTATCATGTTTTACCTAATTCACATGATAAATATATGCCTTTAAAACTTTAAACTTAACATGTATCTACTCTGCTTCTTGAAGAAATCTGAAAAAAAACATTTTACCTAATGATACCTTTGGCAAATGATGTCACCAATCTCATATTTAAATGTGTAACTCACCTCTCTACTGACTAACCCATCTCATTATAATTTACATATTTTTAAATAATTGTGTCTGGATTAGGCAGTGAATGAATTGTGGAGAGAACAATACACAGCACACTTTTAAGCCACAAGAGCCTGACACACAAGAGACCTTGATTATGTGCTAGAAGAAACAATGAGTTCAACTCCAGCAGAAAACAAGATTGCCAACTATTTGATGGAGTTGTGGTGTTTCATAAATGCAGTGTAAAGCCTATAAAATTTTTCTGATTCCAGAATAATACGTAGCACATTACAAAAATGAAATAAAATAGCTCTAGAAGGATTTTACCTCATACTATAATTACTAGGCAAGATAATAAGTTCAGTGTAACAAATCTCCATTGAATATATTCCAGTATCAATTTAAGGAAGGTATTTAAAAACATGCAGTATTCAGAGTCATCAGGATTCAGTTCACACTACAAAACTGAATCATAAAGTTTTAATTCTATAAACACAAACTGAACAATACATATTGTTTTTTCATGCTTCTCATATAAAAAAGTCTTTCTATCTAGTTAGATGAATTCTGTTCAGTCTCTACAAACTAATTAGGGTTTAGACATGAAAGTAAATACAAAACTATCTAGTGATAAAACACTTGCCCAATAAGTATAAGGCATTACATTCGCCCAACAAAGAAAACCTAATGAGAGTTAAAAATCCCTTCTTAGAACTGGAGCTTTCTGGTGGAAAATATTAACTTGTTTTGACTTGAGAAACTGATTCCAAACCTTTCTAAATTATTTACTGGATACTCACATTATGAGATTTTTAAAATTAAATTTTGAGGCCACTAGATACTTGTACAGGGATAATTCTTCAGAGAGTACCACAGTCAAGGGACATATTTCATGTGTGCTGAGGTTCATGGATTACCTTTGTAGGAAATATTGTATCCACCTTAGTGTGATTGTTTAAGGGCCTATGTTAATACGCACGTATGTTTTAAATGTCAGCATTTAAACTGGGACACAAAGAGGGAAGGGGTGACATTGCCCAAAAAGAAATGTACTCTTTACCTGACTTATGTAACTGTAACCCCTCTGTACATCATCTTTATAATAACAATAATTTTTTTTCTAAAATCAGCATTTAAGACAGAATCTGAAAAGACCACATGAAAAAAGAAACAACAATCACAACTACTTACAGCCAGCAAGCAGGAACTGGTAATACTGTACTGCATCTGCAGCAAGGAGCAGGGGATGGTTTGCATTGAATGGTGGTTGTAATTCATTCCACTGAGGCGTCCTAAGGAAACAACAGAATATTAATATTTAAGCTTAATGTGTTTGATGTAAATCACTAAGACTGTCATAGACAATGATATAAACTCATAATATTTTTAATCATTAAAATGAACATACAATCATTATAATGAATGTGCTAAAATCTGAAACTCAAGGCCATATATTTAAGAATAAAAAGGTAGCAACATGTCAAATAAGTAATAGGAGCCAATATTCACTTATCTGCAATATGCTATGCAATAGGATAATTAAGAGATTCAGAAGACAAAATAGAAAAAAAGCAGAGAACTTAAATACCTCAGCTATAGGTCTAATTTTATGTAATTTTGGAATGTCATTAGACATCTCTGGTCTTAGAATATGTGTACATTTTAACATGAAATGAAACAAGCATAAGTGGTTTAAAAAAAAAAGCTGTGTAAATAGATTACTTGTTATAGATCTAATTAGAATTTGATTTTCAAAATAAACCACTATTTCAATGATGATACTGCAGTAACTTTAATTAGATCTGTCCAATTTTATAAACAAGTTTGATAAATCAGGTATTGATCAGATCAATCCAGCATACTAAAGGAGGAGTAAAGAATGCTGGAGCCTCCAAAAATCAATATAAGAATATTTTAAAATGTCAAAGAGTAGTCATTTTCATATCTATTTTGGTCTGTTTCCTTCCATACAGACTAGTACAGAATTTTTTTTCTTCTCATGGATAATCTACTACATTAAGAAGGTTTTATTCTGCATTCCAGTTTTTGCTCTTTGGCTATCTTACTTTCTTATCCTTATGTACTTTAAGTTCTAATTCTTAATAAACATTTATATAGTGCCAAACTATTGTATCAATTTAAAGGAAACCATAAAATATGAAATAGTTCCTATTTCCCTAATCAGCTATCTCAGTACTACTCCTTGTTTTCAAGAAGCATGAGACTACAAACGGGAGAAGTACAAGTCTAAGAAAAGGTAACACAAAGAAGCAAGGAGTAGGAGCTCAAACGGAGGTATCTCAAATATATATCTAAAACAATTAAACATGTATGTTGGCACAAAAATTCATACTTGAATGTTCACAGCAATATTTCAGTGATAGTTAAAATGTGCAAATGTCTACTTGCTAGCAAATGCAAAACAAAATGTGGCATATCCAGGTAATAGAATATAATATAGGTGAAAATAGGAATGAGGTTCTCATATATTGCCACAACATAATGGTCCTTGACAATGTACTAAATGGAAGAAGCCAGATACAAAAGATAGCATGTTATATGATTCCACTATTGCTAAAAGAACAGAGTAGGAAATTCCATACACACATAAAATGAATGAATACTTGACTTGGGCCAAAGGGTTAGGGGAGAAATGGAAATTTCAGAGTTTGTTTTTCTGGAAGTGAAAGCTGTAGTGTTGGGTACACAGCCTACTATCAATGTCTGAAAGTGTATGGTATGTAAATAAGTTAAACAAAAACGTAATGGACTATAGATTTGCTAGATAAGAAGCAAGACCAAAAAAATTTAAGTGAAAATAATAAAATTCCATTTCCATGGAATTCTAGTGACAAAAAGAGGAAAAAATTTTAGATGAGATGGGGGAGAGGAGAAATTGGAAGGTGAGGAGGAAAGGGATGGTAGTGGAAAAACAAAGGAAGGGGTAACAATGCTCAATAGGAAATGTACTCATTACTCATGTAACTAACTTCTTTGTGAAGTATCTTTACAATAAAAAATCTTAAAATTTTAGATGAGAATAAACTTACATTTGTGATGGAATATATTTACCCTATTAACTGTGATTATTTCACAGTATAGCACATTTGTAATCTTTCATACCTCAAAAATGAAGAAAGACAGAAAGAAGGAACTACCTAACCAGCGTCCAACTGGCTCGAGGTGATGTCATCATCTCCAGTGGGGTGTCATCACTTATCTTAGGAGCAGTACTGAGGGGCCGGGGCTCCATCATGTGTTCCACTAAGGTGCCATAGCAACTGATAATGTACAGAGATTCAACTACAACTTGCTTTGACTGATCTGCAAATAGAGAAACAGAAACTAAATTGTGAGTAAGGAAAAGAATGACTGTTACACATTATTGACCTTGTCGATCTGCTCCAGAGCCTACTAAGAAAAAGTGAAAAAGTTTCTAAAGTTTACCTGAACACCATACAGAAATTTCTTTTGGCAAATTTGATAGTTGTTGATATACACCTGTTAAACTGACAACAGACATAACTCATAATTCCCCAGAAACCTTACTTGTTTACAGTATCTAATGTTTTGCCTCCTCTGTTTTGGCTTTGCTGGTTATAAAGGTTTGGATTGGATAGGGCTCACTGGATCTGGATCACTGGATTCAAATCATGAGATGAATTATAAGGATTCATGGAGCAGGATCATAGTACCAGGAACATAGGAGTGGATTTCTGCCCCCAATCAAATCACATTCATGTGGATTTTTTTGTTGTTGTTTAACGTAATTGGCTATTCCAAAGAGTTTTTTTCCTATTTTTGATCATTAGAGCCCCCAAAATATATGATGGACTTGTGTTTTGCATTTTTTGGTAAAAGGAGCAAAGCGAGGACCTGGAGATAATTTGCTGGAGAAAACTCCTTAGAAGAATTCAGTACAAGTAGATGGTAAATATTTAAAGGGAAAGGAGGGTTTGTTTAAAATAGCAAATCAGTAACTCATTTTAAATTTAAAGAAAACAAATTGGGGTTGAAGAATGAATAGGTTTCCAATTGGCTATTACCCTTTTTCTTCGAAAATATAAACATTTTTTTAAAAAGAAAAAAAGAAAAACATTAAACTTTGTCTATAGTACATGTTCTTTTTGAAGGCTGCTAATGAATGTAAAAAAATCTCCATGATAGCAAATATTCTAAAATTCTATAATTTATTTCAAGACTAATATAACTATGATAAACAGTCCAATATGCTAAATACCTATTTTGTCTACTACATAATTAATCCCACATTATGAAAAATGACAGATCTCAAGTAAGAAAGGGAAGTATTCACTGAAAAGCTATACTCTATACACTAAGATTTAGTTATAATGGATGTGTCATTTTTCACAAAAGGTTAATTGTATGTCCAAATCAGTATACTGAACCTTGCACTTTTGCTGAAAAAACTCAAATTTCTAGATCAAAACAAAACAACAAGGACAAAAAAAAGAAACACCATGATGTCAATATATGTCCATCAATTGAAGTAAATGCCCCATTCTGGTGGGGGATCCTGATATTGGAGGAAAATATCCAAGAAAAAATATATATGGCAGTTCTCTATACAGTTTTCTCAATTTTCCTATGAACAGAAACTATTAGAAAAAATAATGTCTATCCCCACCAAATCCCTACTTCATTTTTCTCAATGGGATCCTCAGTTCCAAAAGCTAAATGAATGTCAACCACACTTTGAGAAGTCAGGGTCTGAATATGGATCTAATCAAATGACTTTATAAGAAATACACATGTACTCATGCCAAAACAGGTTTAGAGCTCAATTTCAAGTTTTACAGTAAGCCAAGGAGCATTTAAAAAAAAAAAATCACTCATGAATGCTGAGTAGGTCATCTTATCTCTGTGTCAGACGAATCAATTACAGATGATTTGAGAAAATGACTAATGATCAGCCAGTGGGTCACAAAGGAGGGGCAAGTGAAAAGGGTAATTAGGACAGAAGAGCGAAGCATTTGAAATCGAGCTTCACAGGAGGTTTTAACTAGTCACAAAAAGTTGGGTTGATAGCATCACTAAACCAAAGGAGGTAACAAAAAAATAAAGATGGGATAAGGAAATAGAAGGCTTGCATACTTTACAGTATCCTCTCCACTTAGGTAAGGAACCCCCTGTGCTGAGATCCTATTACTAAGGAAAGGGTCAGTGAAAGGCAGTAACAAGGCACAGAACAATGTCTGACTGCCAGGATTAGCATAAAGGAGAGCCATATTGCCAAGAATAATACAGACTGTGGGACTCACTAAAAGGAGCACCATTGTTTGTGACCTAATTTAGCAACAAAAAATAATAAAGAAAACTGGGTGCCAATGGCTCACACCTGTAATCCTAGCTACTCAGGAGACTGAGATCTGAGGATCAAGGATGAAAGCCAGCCTGAGGCAGGAAAGTCATGAGACTCCTATCTCCAATAAACCACTCCGAAAACTGAAAGTTGTGCTGTGGCTCAAGTGCACTGAAGAGCTGAGGGACAGCACCCACAGCCTAGGTGCTGTGCCTGAGCCTTTTTGGTAGCCACACCTTCACTTCTGGGATATGTTGTTTTTGTTTTTGTTTGGGTGGAGGGAGAGTGAGGAGCTGGTGGTTAACTGAAGATAAGAATTTCAGACTGGGCTGGGAAGGTGGCTCAGTGGTAGAGTACTTGCCTTGCATGTATGAGGCCCTAGGTTCAATTCGTCAGCACCATATAAGCAGAAAAGCCCAGAAGTGGTGCTGTGGCTCAAGTGGTAGAGTGCTAGCCTTAAGCTGAAGAGCTGAGAAATAGCAACCAGGCCCAGAGTTCAGGCCCCACGACAGAGAGAGAGAGAGAGAGAGAGAGAGAGAGAGAGAGAGAATTTCAGACTGTTCTGCTCAGGAAAGTTTTTGAGAGAGAGAGAGAATTTCAGACTGTTCTGTTCAGGAAAGTTTTTGCACCCTAGTCCACAGGTCTCAGCCTCCTGAGTGGCATGAGCCACTCGCAACTGTTCAGGTTGAGTTTTTTGGGTTATTTTATAAAATATTCTGCAATCTTCATGTTCTAAAAAAAATGGCATGGGTTCAAGTATAAAGATCTGAGTAAAACAGCAGTAATTCTAAAAGGAAAAAAAAATTTAAGGTAGAATAGTTGCAGGTATATCAAGATTCAGCATTAGAAAAAGGATTTCAAACTCTGTCATCATCACATACTAAAATAGGGATGTGTGGCTGGGAATGTGGCTTAGTGGTAGAGTACTTGACTTCAATTCCTCAGTACCACATAAACAGAAAAAGCTGGAAGTAATGCTGTGGCTCAAGTGGTAGAGTGCTAGCATCTCAAATTGTAAGAAAGGGGATCAGGTACAGAGACCAGGCCCTGAGTTCAAGCCCTAGGACTGGGAAAGTAAATAAAGATAATAGGGATTTTATGCTAAACTTGTTTAAAGAGGGAAAATTTCCATGGCTATGCATTTTCATGAGTCATTGGCAAAAAGTAAATTAGCTTATAAAAACATAAAAGTTATGGAATGGATACAGAATTGAAATACCCTGTAGACTGTCAACAAGAAAATAGCCAGGTGCTACAAAGGAAGAGGTTGAGATCTGAGGATTGTGGTTCAAATCCAGCCCAGGCAGGAACGTCTGTGAGACTCTTATCTCCAATTAACCACCAGAGAACTGGAAGTGGTTCTGTGGCTCAAGTGGTAGAGCGCTAGCCTTGAGCTAAAGAGCTGAGAGACAGCACCCAGGCCCAGAGTTCAAGCCACAGGAACCGCCCCCCTCTGCCCCTCCCCCGCCCACACACACAAATGTAACTCATTGGGGAGTCATTTCACACTTATATGAAAGAATTGTTTTATTTCTTGACTATTCTTCAGTAGTTGAGAGCTATGCTAATTGAATGGGAAAAGTTGAAATACCTTTCTTATAATAAATGCTAAAACATTTTGCCACACAATTATTCTAGAAAAATTCCTATAAATTTTCTCTAACAAGCAAAGTTAAAGTTATAGTTGGAAAGTTTCAGCTTCAGGAAAGAATACATACCTTTTTCTCTTTTCAGACCAGCATTATTTGCAAACCATGACCTGGATGTCCCAAAGATAGCAGCCACACAAAATTCTCCGCCCATCGATTTGCTGGGTGAAATTTGTGGAGGTGGTTTAACTTTGCTTAAAAAAAAAAAAGTAAATTAAAAAATGACCATGACAAAGTGGCAGGTCTAGAGCATAAAAGATTTTCCTTCAGGTCCCACCCTAAGGGTTCAAATGCTACAAAAATGACATGCATTTCTCCTGAAGTAGTAACTTGTGATGTGACACTATGATCTGGAGCAAAATTTAAGCTACTTCAAGGTTGGAGAGCCTTGTCAAGAGAACAATCAACATAGACAAATTTTTTAGCCAGGGAGCAGTGGTACATGTCTTGTAGTCCCAGCTAGTTGGGAGGCTGAGGCAGGAGGACCATTTATGCCAGGATCGGCCTGGGCAACGTATTAAGAACAAAATACAAAATACTTTCAAGTATGAGCAAGGAAAATCCAAGTTATTTCTTTTCATATAGATAATATTCTATGGAGATTTTAGAACAACATAAACATAAAAACCTCTCCATAATAAAAATGATTAGCATTTCATTGTTACATGTAAGATCTAAGATTAACAATAATATAGATAATGGAGACAATATGTATGAAAATGAGATGCCGAAGAATGGAAACTTGAAATCTCTGACCTAGAATGTGATCCATTGCAGCTTTACTCACTAACCTTCCCTTCAAATCTGTTCTTTTTCTTTATAGATTTATGAGAGTAACCTATGATTGCTCAGCTCCTCAGATTTGTTCTTTTTTTTCCAATGTCTGAAGAAACATTTAGAAAAACACTTAACATCCTCAAAATTTCATACCCTCACATTCTAATATCCATGTCTCATTTTGTTTCAGATCCTGTGTTCTTACTCTTTTTTACTTGTCAAATATTCCCCAAAGTTCACTGACAACTTAGCCAACTACCTTAGAAAAATTATCTTCTCTAATTTATAGGCTAGAAAACAATCTCAAAGCCTTTAAAGGATAAGATGAACAATGGAACTTTGGTCTTCTAACACCTTAAGTTAGTTCCTATTGGAAAATGTATTTCTATGTTCCTTTATTCATTTTCCTTTATCCTATAATCTTTTTATATCCTGTACTGAGATTTTAAACTGAGGGTTTCATACCTGATAGATAAGTGCTCTATCATTTGGACTAACCCCTCAGCCCTATTTATGGTTTGGGGTTTTTTTTCTGATATACATCAAAGGTTTTGGTTAAGGCCAGCCTTAGATTATAATTCCACTCTCTATGCCTCTTGCATAGTTGACAAGTGTACATCGCCACATTGGACTTGTTTGTTCAGCAGGGATCTTGCCAACTTTTTTAGCCCCAGCTGGCTTCGAACTGTGATCCTCCAGATTTCTACTCAAGCAGCTTGGATTCTGGAAGTATAACACAACTGCCTCTATCCGATTATCTTTTAATACAGAAACTGAATATCAATCCTAAATCTGTGTCACTTTTGGCCAACATATCTTACCACTCAGAGTTCAAATTACTAATATGTAAAATACAAATATTAACGCCTACCATACACAGTAAAAGGCTTTATTTATTCCTAAAGTCTGGTCCATGGCTGATAGTACCACCTGGGAAATCCTGAGACTTAAAGGGAAATACTCATCAGACCCAAGATTTTATAAATCAATATTTCTAGGGGTTGGGAAAAAGTAATTGTAAATTTTTAAACAAAGCACACTAGTAAACTCTTCAGTATGCTCAAGTTTGAAGAACAGTGCATTAGAAAAAGCAAGTAACACTCCCATACTGTTTTCCCATATCACAGCTCTGCACAAATGCCCTCTGTCCTTAATTTCAAAAAAAGAAAAATCAAATTGCTTTAGCAATCTCTATTCCTCAGTTCTTACAACACTTGAATTATGGTTTCAGATACCTTACATCCCCGAGCTTCTGTAATGACATCTTTCCTCTAAGAAATGCAAAATGTCTGGACCCCATATTACTATCATTGTTCTCATTATTCTGCTTTGAACCAGGGCATGTATAAGAATGATCACTACTATGGGAAAAAAACAATTTCAATTACTGTTTCCTGACCATTTCACATCTCCAAAAAAATCACATACACGTCTAAAATAATAACAAACTACACTTCATTTGAGAAGGAAAAAAAGATTATGAAATTAACCCTACAATTCCTTTCTTCACAGTTTCATCTGCCACAACCACAATACTCCAGAAAAGAAGCTTCCCTATTTACCCTGCACCTAAACAAACCCATCTCCCCTGAAACCTGAATCACAGACATCAGAAGAGTTCTTTCTGCTTATGACATGCATTTTCCTCAGAATAATTCCTTCTATCACTGAGCAGATAAACTCCAGTAACTAGCATTTGTAAAGTGTCATTGTTTACAACACTACAATGAACCAATAAGCTTCACAAGGAGAAACCCAAAATTTCAAAGTATTGAGGGAGATTGTTGTTGTATTTTAAATTCTGTAATAAAAATTGAGAATGCCATTTCTTTTTTTTAATAATGTCATCTTTATTTTGTATTTTTTTTAAATTTTTTTCTTTTGGCTTATGTGGCGCTAAGGAATTGAACCCAGGGCCTCAGGCATGCAAGGCAAGCGCTAGACCGCTGAGCCACCTTCCCAGCCCCAAGAATGCCATTTCTGAAGAGTAAATAGGGTTCCTCAAATGTATACACTGAAACAGACTTGGTACTGGATCAGATTGCTATTTTTCTAACATAATCATAAAAAGTAAAAAAAAAGTCATGGAACATTAATTTAGTCTTTGGATCTACAAAATCATATTCTATATAAGTTTAAGAGCTTAATCTAATAAGCCTTATCAAAACAAAAAATTCTTACAATTGTATGTTATATCTTATTCTACTTAAAAACACAGAAGTAAAAATTATCAACATGGTGTCATAGTTAACAAATTCATCTACTATGAAAAATAAGTATTTATGGGTATACTTTATATTTTATATATATGTATGTGTATATGTGTTATATACGTATATATTTATATGTATGTATATATGCAAATACACACATATGTAATGATTTTATATTTTATCATTTCTTCTTTATCCTTGGATAGAGCCTTAATAAACATTATTAAAAATTCAAGTCTAATAAAGAACCAAAGCCAGGCACCGGTGGCTCACACCTATAATCCTAGCTACTCAAGAGGCTGAGATCTGAGGATCGCGATTCAAAGCCAGCCCAGGCAGGAAAGTTCGTGAGACTCTTCCAGAAGTGGTGCTGTGGCTCAAGCGGTAGAGCGCTTGCCTTGAGCTGAAGAGCACAAGGACAGCGCCCAAGCCCAGACAAAAAAAAAAAAAAAAAAAGAACCAAGAGTTTTCATTCCTAAAAATAACTTGCTATGAAACAGTGATATAAATTGGGGATACTGGGTAAATATATTCCATCCCCAATAGCAGCACTTACATTAAGTTATTTCTATCAGTAGTCTATATCTAGAGTAATTTTAGTAGTTAAAAAAATAGGAATATAAAAACATATTACATTATATGGAAAAATCATGCAGAGGAATAAGAGAAAAAATAATGTAGTGAAAATAACATCATTAATAAAATATTTTCTAAGTGATATACCCAAAGTGAGAATTGTGATGTACACATTTTCCTAAGTTTTATAAAGACTGTCCAGAAACTCTTCAAGCATTCTAGAAACACAATAATTTTTCCTCTAACGTGTGTCAGGCAACAGACTACATTAACTTTTCCACAATGAATATTCCCAGAATATTTCTATCAAAAATAACATTTTGTTGACAGACCTTTTTTCTTGTTATTCTCTCAAGACTCTCCTCTCAAAGGGTCTTAACAAATCCCATTCCAGAACATGTTTAAGGTTAGAAAGAATTCCTGTGGGTGTTTAAAGGGCTTCTCTTTATTCACTTATGTAATTGATAAATCAGTGATGTATAAAAATAACATTTCTTTCTTTCTTTCTTTTTTGGTCAGTTGTGGGCCTGAACTCTGGGCCTGGGTGCTGTCCCTCAGCTCTTCAGTTCAAGGCTAATGTTCTACCACTTGAGCCACAGCACCACTTCTGGCTTTTTCTGCTTATGTGGTACTGAGGAATCGAACCCAGGGCCTCATGCGTGCAAGGCAAGCACTCTACCACTGAGCCACCTTCCCAGCCCCCTGCCCCTGCAAAAAAATAACATTTCAATGCACATTGTTGAGCAGGAGTTTTAACTAGAGTATGTGAATTCATGCATTAATGAAAATGGTCACACAGGAGAACAACATGTACTGGAGTCCTGATGGACTATCTTTTACTTAATACTACCTTTAGTGTTTCATGAATAAAACCATGTTTTAAAACATTTTTCTTAGCTGGGTGTCAGTGACTCACATGTGAAATCCTAGCTATTCAGAAGGCTTAGATCTGAGGCTCACAGTTCTAAGGAAGCCTAGGCAAGAAAGTCCAAAAGACTTAATCTCCAACTAATGAATCTCCAGTTAATCATTTAAAAAAGCAGTGGTAGAACACTAGCCTTGAGCAAGGAAGTTCATGGACAGCACCTAGTTCCTGAGTTCAAGCTCCAGAACTCCTAGCAAAACTAAACCAAAAAAAGCGAGCAAAACAAAAGTGAAATGAATCCAAGATTCATCCTATAAATAAAAATGACTATCAATTATAACACAAATGAAGACACTCAAGAGAAAGACAAACATTCAAACAAAAACAAAGTATTAATTAGATTGAAAAACTGTTTAACTCAGTTAATTCTTCTGAGAATAGGCTTAACTATGGAACTACAGAACATGCATCATTTCTACTACCAACACAAGTGTAGGGAAATTAACATGGATAGGATATCAAATATATTAGAGGCGACTGAAGTCACCCATCTTTTTCCCATTGGGTTTTACTGTGTTAAGTCACCCAGTCAGATTAGCATACTGAATTTCTCTAAGCTGCTTTTTATCCGCACTCAACAAGACAAAAGAAGAAGAGGAGGAGGAAGAAAACAATCAGCCTAAAAATGTGTAGGTAAATTTACTATGCACTGAGAATGGGACGCGTGGTGAGACAGGAGTGGCACGATGTGCAGCAAGGTGTT